TTTTCACATTTGTCCATATTTGACCCAACATTGTGCTAAAACAACCCAGCACAGCATCACACAGCTGCTGCAGATTTGTCGGCTGCACATCCATGATGCCAATCTCCCGTTCCACCACATCCCAAAGCTGCTCTATTGGATTGAGCTCTGGTGACTGTGGAGGCCATTTGAGTACAGTGAACTCATCGTCATGTTCACCAGTCTGAGATGATTGAGCTTTATGACATGCTGCGTTATCCTGCTGGAAGTAGCCATCAGAAGATGGAGACACTGTGCTCATAAAGGGATGGACATGGTCAGCAGCAATACTCAGGTAGGCTGTGGCGTTGATGCTCAATTGGTACTAATGGACCCAAAGAAAATCTCCCCCACACCATTACACCACCACCACCAGCCTGAACCGCTGATACAAGGCAGGATGATCCATGCTTTCATGTTGTTGAGGCCAAATTCTGCCCCGAGCATCTGAATGTGTCAGCAGAAATGGAGACTCATCAGAGCAGCAACGTTTCTCCAATCTTCTATTGTGCAGTTTTGGTGAGTCTGTGTGAATTGTAGCCTCAGTTTCCTGTTCTTAGCTGACAGGAGCGGCACCCGGTGTGCTCTTCTGCTGCTGTAGCCCATCCGCCTCAAGGTTGGACGTGTTGTGTGTTCAGAGATGCTCTTCTGCAGAGCTCGGTTGTAACGAGTGCTTATTTGAGTTACTGTTGCCTTAATATCAGCTGGAACCAGTCTGGCCATTCTCCTCTGGCCTCATCAACAAGGCATTTACGCCCACAGAACTGCCGCTCACTGGATATTTCCTCTTTGTCGGAGCATTCTCTGTAAAGCCTAGAGATGGTTGTGCGTGAAAATCCCAGTAGATCAGCAGTTTCTGAAATACTCAGAGCAGCCCGTCTGGCAGCAACAACCATGCCACGATCAAAGTCTCTTAAATCCCCTTTCTCCCCCATTCTGATGCTCGCTCTGAACTGCAGCAGATCCTCTTGACCATGTCTACATGCAGTGAGCTGCTGCCGTGTGATTGGCTGATAAGACATTTGTGAGCAGTTGGACAGCTGTACCTAATAAAGTGGCCAGTGAGTGTGTATGTAAACTTGTTTTTCTGTTTGTATCTCACTCTGTGTGTTTATGTTTTCTCTTCTTCATATGGCTTTATTTACATAATGAATAATCAGAATAATTTACTCTGTTTATTCTCCCTCGAGTTTCTTTCTGCTGTTGAACACTAAAGAAGATATCTTGAAGAATGCTGGAAACCTGTAAACAATGATTTTCATAGTTTGTGAATTCAATGGTTACCGGTTTTCAGCATTCTTCAAAACATCTTCTTTGGTGTTCAACAGCAGAAAGAAACTCATAAAGGTTTGAATCTAGGAAATGTTACTGCACTAAAACTGTTGTGTGAACTGCCCCTTAATGGACTCTTCCACTACACAGACTATTCAGTAATCAGACAACACTATCAATAATGCTGGGCTGTTTTAACTTAGTGTTAGGTGGGTTAAAATGTTTAATAACCCAATGGTTGGGTTTGTCCATATTTGACCCAATGCTGGGTTAAAACAATCCAGCAGTGTTTTAGAGTGATCATTAGTGGATCAGAAGTTAGAGTTCCTGTACCGCATCACTGCCATAACACCATTTCAGGACTTTTATTTTGAAAGCCTCTCACTGGAATCAGTGCAGAACTTCCTCACAGCTTTACAAGCAGACACAAATAAATATATTAGAGAAATAAAGTCAAATTAATATCCATTATTAAAATACACGCAGCGTTTGAGAAGCTAAATCAATTCAAAGGTATTAAAGGGACAGTTCAAAGTTCAGGTAATAGTTCCAAAAAATAAACACTTCTTCACTTTTATTTGTGATTTTGTCAGATCTACTTTATGATGATTGAGCTGAAATATGAACTCAGCTCATGGTGGACTGTGGGAATCAGCCTGTCTATATCTGAGCCGGTGATGAAAAACTGCAGTGCAGTGTTGATGATCTCCACACGGGGGAGCTGTGCTCTCACCTGCCCTCATCAAACACCGCACTGGCCTGTGTTCACATATGCACAATATGACACAACACAACATTGGGTTATTATTTACATTTTACATTTTATAATTACTATTATAACACAAATGATGGATCTGTCCATATTTGACCCAGCATTTGGTTTAAGACAACCCAGCAGTTTTATAGTGCAAAGTCAAAGTTCAGCTTTTATCCTAACCACACAACCCCTCAGTGCAGAGGACACGGCTCAGGTTTTCAGCGTCTCGAACACATGGAGAAACCTCACTTACTAGATGTCCTTCAGTTGGTCATTTTAACCCAATGGTTATTTGGTTCATCCATATTTTACTCAAATGTGTGTTCAACTGACCCAGCAAATCATCTTCATCATGTACACTTGTACAACCCTGCATTTGCCTGATCAACTCTGATGAACACTGTTTTAGTTTTACCACAGTAAACTGTGGTCTGTAGTGTAATACACCCTGTA